CATGTGATTTAATTTATATTCAGATCAATAAAATACCTTGCTTCCTAGACGTAGAAGTCACATCACTATCATCGTCCGATGAACTATCCGGTGGTGTTTTAGTGGAGACATGTGGAGAAGTCCTCTTAAATTCATCCTCTAAAGAATTCCACTCCTCAGCATCCTTGAAGAAATTCAACTTATTCTTATTCACTGTGAGTGGATTAGCGTTTTTTTTCACGGATGTAATGGAATCATCAACCTTTGATCCGCTTCGGTCATTCTTAAGCTTTGACTTCAAATGGCTAGTACCTGAACTAGCTGGTTGAACTTTACTGCTTCTCTCTTTCGGTTTCTTTGAGCTCAATGAACCATCAATGGAACCACCAGGATGTAAATCAAGGCTTTTCTTCTCCTTTTTAGATTTAGCTCCACCGGTCACTTTATCTTGCTTCTTTTTACCAACAACAGTATCCTCCTTTTGGCGAGAACCAAAATTGTCTGCCATATTAGCCTTCTCTTTTTGAGTTTGCTGGGAGAGGTTATACTCCTCATTATTATCTGCGACCTCAATATGCTTTTTTAAACGCGGACCATTGCTCTCGGTATCTTTCTTAACTGGCATCCATGTTGCATCAGTGTTTTCTGGGTTGTTGAAGGGAGGAGCTGCCTCTTGAGCATTGTTTACCTCAACTGGCAATACTTGGGACTCCACAATGTTCGAAGAGAGTCTCTTCTTTGATCTCTTGCTTGCTTTTTTCTCAGTTTTGTCCAAACTCCCCTGAGCTTCGTTCCTTTGATGCAAAGAATCTAATACATTTCTGATGACATTATCAGGCCCTTCTCCGTCAACAACTTTGAAAGGTTCAACATTCTGTAGACCAGAATCAACCAGAGTATCTTCCATAGCTGAGGTTTGGGCTTTTCTTGACTTTCTCTTCTTCGTAGACTTCACAGATTTAGCCTCATCCGCAACTATTTCACCATTGTCCTTAGCAACTTCATGTTCAGCGGTTCTTTTATCATCCGCAAATTTCCCAATGTGGTCCACAGTTTTGGATTCCTGGACCAAGGTAGGCAGGGTGGTCGCCAAATCAGCAACTTGTACGTTATCCTCAGCTTGTATTTCATCTGCACCGTTAGGGGTTTTTGTTTTTCTCGACTTTTTCTTCTTTGTAGACTTCACAGATTTAGCCTCATCAGC